ATCTGTTTATACAAACAGAAAACAAAATAAGCGAATATATGGCCATTTACAGGATTCTACCAATTTAGCATACCTACTTAGTGAAAATTGTACTAACACTAACAAAAATCTACAAATTTAAAAATTGTTTTAGGTTGTTAAGACAAAATAATTAATTTTAACATAATTTATGAATTTTATTAATTTATAAAATAAAATAAACTTAAAAACAAATTGTACTGCCCGAATGCGAACCCGGGCTATTCGCGTGGAAGACAGATGCTCTGCCCACAGCTCCACGGCCACTTTTGTGATTTTAGTTTTAATACTCGTATTTAAATTAGTTTCATAAAGTTTGATAAAAATTTTCATAATTTAACCAAATAAAAATGCTATTATTTATCGTTTCTACACAAAAATAACTTTCGTTTTAATGTATATTTAATCTCAATAATCAAAAAATATAATGGCAATTAGTTTTACAGGATTATCACTTATTTAAAATTTTAAAACTAATAGTGGTTGGGTGTCCAAAATATGAACTGTGATTGGTGGATTTCATTTTTTGCAGTGTTCTCACTACCTAGAATGGATATGAAATATATTCGTTCAGTTGAACGCAATAGCATACTTTTTCGTTTTGCAATCTGAGCGTAGATAGGCTAATATCCAAGAGGGTGTAGAAAAATGATATTACCTAATTGTTATTTCACTACGGCGCCACTTCGAGATATATATATATATATATATATATATATATATATATATATATATATATATATATATTGGAACAAAAACAGATTTTGATAATGTTTAGAATTTGGCATTCTTTCTACTTTAAAATAATTCGTTATTTGTTGTTTATTATATTAAAGTTAAAATACAGAGTGTTTGAAAGTTAACATTATTATTTATGATTTTTGCTTACATATAGGTAGGTCAGATCAGAGAAGGAAACAAAACAAATATTTTTTATAAGTTAAAGAAAGCTGCATTAAACCTTTGAGGTGCGAGGCCCTTCAGGCCGCGACGCCGTAGGCGGTGGCCCACGTCGCCCACGCCTTGCGCCGCTTCTGAAACCCTTTGCAAGCATTTTTATCGTCGAGTTTTGCTACTTTTGGTGTAAATTTAGACATTTTCTCACATCGATAAAAGCAAAACCAGACGGCACAGAGGATGTTTTTATTGTTATAGACGTCTAGAAGCAAATTATTTCTTTTTTAGAAAAAAATTAAAAATTCCATCGATGTGAAACATTATTTTGAATTTGACAAGTTAGGCGAGAGCTCATACCACCGGAACATATATTTATGTTGTTCACCCCTCTCCTGTACCAAATTACAAATAGCAAGCAAAAAACACGACATGTAACGGTCGCCTAAAAATTGTTGTATGCACCTCGGCCGTATAATCATTTTTGGCCTAACCAGAAGTAGCTTGACCAGGGACGCAAATTTCTGATTCGGTCAAAAAAGATCAACTTTACAGCCTTGGTACACAAATAACAATTATAATTCTTTTATGTTTTTATTTTTTTGATAATTATTTACACCAATCCTTGTAATGGGATCAACTTGGGGGTTCAGTTTGTTATTTATTGAAAACCCTATTAAAAAAAAAAAAATTGTGTATCTATTTAAGTAGATCCATTTTTGAAACTTATTTAAATATTACTCAAGGTTTAGACATTAAAAATATTAAAATGTACAAAACTAGAAAATTTTAAATTATCTTAAAAGTCTTACATAGAAAGTAATGGTTAAATTTATTTTGAGTTCTAACAGCTGACGCCTGGGATAATAAATTCTATTCATCAACATTTTATGTACCTGCTATGAGAAACTAGTAGGGCCTCAACAAACGTTTCCATGTTTAAGGGACTCGGAATTGACAATAAACTTGTAAATTTAACGGATATACCGGAACCTCGCATTGGCAATAGAAATTATATACAAAACGCTCGAAGTGCACCCTAGTAAGAAATATAATGAACTAAAAACCGTATAAGAGGCGATATACACATTACATAAGAGTCAAAAAAAAAAAATGGTGGTTTTGGGGGTTGGGTGATGAAAAATCTATATACATGTGTTTGACCTGCGAGACCATGTAGCTTTTGTGTTGTGTTCGCCCTTGTTTTTCCAGATGTTTGACCAGAATTCACTAAGATTTTTATTGTTTGATGGAACTGCATTTTCTTGTTTTATTAGGGTTCCAGAAAGTCTTATTTTGTTCCTTTCTTTTGTAGCTTTTGTTGTATCGTTTTAATCTTTTTCTCAGTGCCGCTATTCTTTGCTTAAATTCATCTTTTAAAACTGCTAACTTTTCGTTGTAATTATTGTCACTTTGTCACCCCCTTTGATGTTTTTATCTTTTAGGATCTTTTGTGTTTTATTATTTATTAATTTATTATTTATTATTTATTATTTATTATTTATTATTTATTATTTATTATTTATTATTTATTATTTATTATTTATTATTTATTATTTATTATTTATTATTTATTATTTATTATTTATTATTTATTATTTATTATTTATTATTTATTATTTATTATTTATTATTTATTATTTATTATTTATTATTTATTATTTATTATTTATTATTTATTATTTATTATTTATTATTTATTATTTATTATTTATTATTTATTATTTATTATTTATTATTTATTATTTATTATTTATTATTTATTATTTATTATTTATTATTTATTATTTATTATTTATTATTTATTATTTATTATTTATTATTTATTATTTATTATTTATTATTTATTATTTATTATTTATTATTTATTATTTATTATTTATTATTTATTATTTATTATTTATTATTTATTATTTATTATTTATTATTTATTATTTATTATTTATTATTTATTATTTATTATTTATTATTTATTATTTATTATTTATTATTTATTATTTATTATTTATTATTTATTATTTATTATTTTATTATTTATTATTTATTATTTATTATTTATTATTTATTATTTATTATTTATTATTTATTATTTTATTATTTATTATTTATTATTTATTATTTATTATTTATTATTTATTATTTATTATTTATTATTTATTATTTATTATTTATTATTTATTATTTATTATTTATTATTTATTATTTATTATTTATTATTTATTATTTATTA